AGGGGTCTGCCAGCATGGGGCATATTGAAATATGGAATGCTCCTTTAAAAATAAGTGATCCCCCATGCGAATAAGTAAGGGTCATAAAGTACATTCACAAAGAATAAGCAGTAAATAAAAACAGCACATTTTTCAACAAGTAATTTATTTAAAAAAAGAAAACCCCCCAAAAAGTCCCACAATGTAAATCCACTGTCAATCACATTATCCAACAATGCAGTTCCTCAGGAACTACAATAAATGGTGCCCACCCAGTCCTATTACTCACTCACCCCAAACGACAGCTCCATAGGGGTGGTATATAGCCTGTAACATCATTGACCAAATATTGACATGACCATATTTAATGAATGACATCACCTGGGATCCATCAGCATGTCATGCTATGTTTCGCTTCCCACTACAGCTGCTAGCTGATCCTCCAAACAAGTAAAATTCATACTGAACTGGGAGCTAATTCCTAGTGTGCAGTATTAAGTAATCCTTCAACCAGTGCTCCAGCCCAGTATTTAGGTCCTTTCTAAGGATACATGATATGTGTAGTCAAAGGTATTATGGGTATTTTGGGGAAGTTTGACTTAAAAACAAAGCAGACATAACATTTTTTTATTTTATTCTAGATTAGGTAATTCTTGTAAACTACAGTACATTGTTATAGCTGTTTAATAGTAATACACACACACGGGCGTTGTTCCTAAACTGATTTTAAAATAGCAGTTAAACTTTAGCTGCAGGAAATGTCTCCAATTAGGCTGTCGTAAAATTTGCTGGAGACATGATTAATTAGAAACATCACTCTAGTCTGACTTTGTTGACCTAAGCGTGAGTTGGGTCTTAAATTGCAGAAGATGTTGGGATGACACTTCCCTAGCCCTAATGCTTTACTCTCTTTAGTGAAAGAAAAGTAAGATTACTGTTCAAAGAATTACAAATTGCTCATCTTGGCAAAAAGGTTTTTAGAAAAAAAAAATTATATATATATATATATATATATATTTTGAGGGATTAGCCCAGTAGCGGGTTGTGCTTGACCCCCTGGATGGGTCAGGGCACCGTGAAAGAGGCTCAACATGACAGCAGGATCTTGGTGAATAAATTGGTGCTTTATTTACAAGTCTGGTGAACACATGGTGCATATAGTCAAAACAGCAAAAAAAAAATACAAATAGAAAATAAAGCCTTGCCACACTGGGCGTCTAACTGCAGACACAGGTTCCTATCTAGCTGTCTGAATACAGCCTATCGCTGCTGAGACACAGAGTGTTCACACAGTCTAAGATCACACAGAGTTTCTCTCATCAGAGGATGGTTTGGTTGCTCCCCAGTCTGTCCTGCACAGTAGACTGGTTCCAGGTTGGAGCATCCTCTCTAAGCAGCCTGAGAGTTTTATAGAGCCCAGAGCCCTTAACTTGCTATACCTGAGCTCATTAAATCATCAGTTAGCTAGACAGGCTCACTACACAGCACCAAAGGAGAAACAGTCAGTGTATAACATAAACCTGGGACAAACATACCTTCCATCCTGGACACATCCCTTACTTCTTCCTGACCCCCCCCCCCCCCCCCCGTCTTGTTTCAACCTTGGGGTTGGAACACAGGTTGCTAAGTATGCGTGTACTCGGGGCAGGGCAACTGCATTCCCCATTCTAACACTGGGGCGATGTTTTATGACAAATCTGAATTCTTGAAGGGCTAGTAACCACCTATTCAATCTCCTATTGATTTCTTTGTTTTGTGCCATCCACGTTAAGGGAGCATGATCGGTTACCAGTTCAACCTGTCTTCCCAAGAGATAGTACTGGAGAGAATCTAGAGCCCACTTTATTGCTAAGCACTCTCTCAATGGTGGCATAATTCTCTTCATGGGGCTTTAACGTCCGGCTGAGGTAAATGATGGGGTGTTCTTCCCCCTTGAAAACCTGAGACCACACAGCTCCTAACCCCACATCTGAGGCATCGGTCTGGACCACAAAGTCCCTTGAAAAATCTGGGGAGTACAACACTAACTGTTTACATAAGGCCCGTTTTAAGGGCTCAAAAGCTGCTTCTGCTTCAGGGGTCCATTTGACCATGACAGACTCCTTCTCTTTTGTCAAATTGGCCAGGGGAGCAGCCTGTGAAGCAAAATGAGGAATAAACCTGGGACCTACAGGTATGGAAGCGTAAAAACCACCGTTGTGGAGTAAAACTGCTTTGAGACTTCTTTTTGAAGAATCTATAAAAAGACGCCATTGCTCTGAATCATATTGGATTTTAAATTGACCCATCAGACCTTCGAGATTGATGCAATAAACCAACTTGTCTTCCTGAGAGAAGTAAGGAACGAACTCCTTTTCACAATGTCTGAACCATGAAGATGACACTCCTGGCAACAATAAATTCCTGCTTTTCAGCCTTGATCCGAGTAACTCAGCGGCATCTTTGGGAAGATTCAAGTCTCTTACCAAATCATTCATCTCCTCCTGAGAAAATAATTTTGGTCTTGTATCATCTTCAAAGTCAGAACTTGATTCGTCATCTGGTTCAGGTATGACTTCACCTTCATCGGAGCTAGGTATCTCTTCCAAGGTAGCAGGGGGCTTGGGTACTGGTATATCTGTGCCAAGGGGGATGGGACAAATTGCTGAGTGAAGATTGGGGTATGAAATGGAATGCTTCCATTTGGAATTAAACCCTTTCACATTGCATGAACAAAAGTAACAGTCGTCACTATGGTTCTTTTGCTCTCGCCATACCATAGGAATTCCATAACGGAAAGATTTTTTCTTACCCTTGAACCAGTTTCGGAGGTCCTCAACACACCATTTGCACACTTTATGAGACGCCCAAACTTTATCTTGATCTCCAATATTTAGTCCAAAGTATGCAAAGTATACTTTTTTCACAAAGTCTGTAATATTCTGCTGTTGCTTCAACACTGTATATTCACCACAGATGAAACAGAAACTGGCGAATTAATACACTTTCGCGGAGCCATAACATAACGGTTGAAGAATGAGGAGCTAACACGAACTGCGATGAAAAAGTGTGAACAGCCTAGAACCAAGAAGCTGATGATGATAGACTCATCTGTAGCTGAATTCTAGTTAATTAGGATTTTGCTGTCTAGAATTTAGCTAAAATCCTAAGATTTTCATTGGGGTGTATTCATTTTCCAATATGATCTTGAATTAATTTTGTTAGAAAAAATACTTTTTTGTGTGCGCAAATTAACAGATCTTGTTTGCAATCAATGGCCCGCTTTTGTGGTAGCATTTTGTAGTATAGTGTTCAATAGAAAATTTTGACTCTGAAAGGAAAGGAAAGGTTTTCTGACAAATCTGTTGGGGTGTACTCATTTATGCGGAGCACTATATATATATATATATATATATATATATATACACTCACCGGCCTCTTTATTAGGTACACCTGTTCAATTGCTTCGTAACACAAATTACTAATCAGCCAATTACATGGCAGCAACTCAATGCATTTAGGCATCTAAACTTGATGAAGATGACTTGCTGAAGTTCAAACCGAGCATCAGAATGGGGAAGAAATGGGGATTTAAGTGACTTTGAATGTGGCATGGTTGTCGGTGACAGACAGGCTGGTCTGAGTATTTCAAAAACTGCTGATCATCTGGGATTTTCACGCACAACCATGTCTAGGGAAATCAGACCATCAATGTTTTTCCAATATCCTATTGTCCAATTTTGGTGAGCCTTTGCGATTTGTAGCCTCTGTTTCCTGTTCTTAGTTGACAGGAGTGGCACCTGGTGTGGTCTTCTGCTGCTGTAGTCCATCTGCTTCAAGGTTCGACGTGTTGTGCGTTCAGAGATGGTATTCTGCATACCTTGGTTTGTAACAAGTTATTTGAGTTACTGTTGCCTTTCGATAATCTCAAACCAGTCTGCCCATTCTCCTCTGACATCAACAAGGTATTTTTGCCCACACAACTGCCACTCACTGGATATTTTCTAATTTTCGGAAAATTCTCTGTAAATCCTAGAGGTGGTTGTACGTGAAAATCCCAGAAGATCAGCAGTTTTTGAAATACTCAGACCAGTCCGTCTGGCAGCAACAACCATGCCACTTTCAAAATCACTTAAATCCCCATTCTTCCCCATTCTGATGCTCGGTTTGAACTTCAGCAATTTGTCTTCACCACATCTCGATCCCTAAATGCATTGAGTTGCTGCCATTTGAATGGCTGCTTAGCAATTTGTGTTATCAAGCAATTGAACCCAAATAGATCAAGAGGTGCTGTTTGAGTATGTGTGTGTGTGATATAATATACCTAATCAAGAGGCTGTTGAGTATGTGTGTGTGTGTATATATATATATATATATATATATATATATATACACACACTATATTGCTAAAAGTATTGGGATGCCTGCCTTTACACGCACATGAACTTTAATGGCATCTCAGTCTTAGTCAGTAAGGTTCAATATGGAGTTGGCTCACCCTTTGCAGAGATAACAGCTTCAACTCTTCTGGGAACGTTTAGGAGTGTGTACATGGGAATGTTTTGACCATTCTTCCTCTTTTTGAGGTCAGGCACTGATGTCAGACGAGAAGGCCTGGTTCATAGTCTACGCTCTAATTCATCCCAAAGGTGTTCTATCGGGTTGAGGTCAGGACTCTCTGCAGGCCAGTCAAGTTTCTCCACCCCAAACATGTCTTTATGGACCTTGCTTTGTGCACTGGTGCGCAGTCATGTTGGAACAGAAAGAGGCCATCCCCAAACTGTTCCCACAAAGTTGGGAGCATGAAATTTTCCAAAATGTCTTGTTATGCTGATGCCTTAAGAGTTCCCTTCACTGGAACTAAGGGGCCAAGTCCAACTCCTGAAAAACAACACCACACCATAATTCCCCCCTCCACCAAGCTTTACACTTGGAACAATGCAGTCAGGCAAGTACCGTTGTCATGGTAACTGCCAGACACAGACAGAGAAGCGTGAATCATCACTCCAGAGAACAGGTCTCCACTGCTCTAGAGTCCAGTGTCGGCATGCTTAACACTACTGCATCTGATGCTTTGCATTGCACTTGGTGATGTAAGGCTTGGATGCAGCTACTTGACCATGGAAACCCACTCCATCAGGGGTGGACTGACAACTCATAGGGCCAATCATAGGGGATCATGGGGCCTCTGTGTCCTTGCCCAGACTAAAAAAAGCCTATGAAAAAGGTACCAGGGGCATCTCATGGGGCCCCCTACTGACCCCGGGCCCTCGGGCAGTGCCCGAGTTTCCAAATGGTCAGTCCACCCCTGCACTCCATGAAGCTCTCTATGCACTGATGTACTAATCTGAAGGCCACACGAACTTTGGAGGTCTTTAGATATTGACTCTGCGGACAGTTGGCGACTTCTGTGCACTGTGCGCTTCAGCATGCGCTGACCCGCTATGTAATTTTACGTGGCCTACCACTTCATGGCTGAGTTACTGTTGTTCTCAGTGGCTTACAGTTTGTTATAACTCCACTAACAGTTGACCGTGAAATATTTAGTAGCAAGGAAATTTAATGGATGGACTTATTGCACAGGTGGCAACCTGTCATGCTACCACGTTGGAATTCACTGAGCTCCTGAGAGTGACCCATTCTTTCACAAATGTTTGTAGAAGCAGTCTGCATGCCTAGGTGCTTGATTTTATACACCTGTGGTGATGGAGGTGATTGGAACTCCCGAATCCAATGATTTGGAGGGGTGTCCCAATACTTTTGGCAGTATAGTGTGTGTGTGTGTATATATATATACCGGTGTATATATATTTATATATATATATATATATATATATACACTGTATATATATACTTTTTTTGTATATGTACTGTATTACTATATGTTCCTTTTCCTGTAGATACATGCTTACTGCACTTACACACCCAAAAGCCACTGAAAAAAATACTCACCTGGTGTACTTACAATAGCCTGTGCACATGTTTTGAGCACATTGCAAAGAAATGGTAAAGTCTCCAGCAGATTTGCTTGCTCTTGCAGCACAAAGTGAAAACATTCACGCACATCCATTAGTGAATCAGGTCCATTATGTTCTCCACTGGTTTGCTTGATAATAAGATTTTTCTATTGTCTGGTGCTGTTTGTCAGAAAAATCTGAAGTTTCACTGGAACCGCTGTTCTAATATAGTTAAAAACACTACCAAAAATAAACACATTAATAATAGTAATAAATAATACTGTTGTATATGAATATTAATACAATGCTCAATTTATTTATATAGCTTCTATGATAAGAAATAACTCAAGAATATGCACATTTCTGACTGTATTTAGAGCATTATGATGTTTTATTTTATTAAACACATCATTTTTGCATGCTTGTAGTCTTGACAAGTATAGGCAAGAAAATTGGTTTGTGGTGAAAATTGAAATGTTCTTATGTAATTGACAATTATGAATTGTTGTACTTTAGTGTAGCAGGAACCAATACTAAGTGAGAATTGGTAAATATAATATGAATGTGGAAATGAGTAATTAGTGCTCAAGCAACGAATATTCCAGAAGTTGACATCACCTCTGTACAACTCACATTATTGCAAGTTGTAGACAAAGAACAGGAGGCACTTTGTTCTATTTCTACATATTCTCTACATTTCTAAGGTGTATTGGTCTGCTGATAAATGATACATGCCAAAATACATCCAGGATTTCACATTAGGGTACAAGGCTCATGTAATGTTACTTATAATGCTTGTATAAAGTGGTTGTAAACCTCTGACATGAAATGTGAACACAGCATATCCTTCTATAGTGTGTATTTGTCTCAATCCAGGGCACTAAGTGTCATTTCCCTCTCTTGCCTTGTTCCTCTGATATCTGTATGAGTCACTTCTGACAAATTTTCCTGACACCAAAAGGAAAAAAGGTGACAGGGGAGGGAGCTCCAGCAGATAGCCTGTGATTGACATCCTCAGCTCTGTTTGTGTGTGCTGTGTGAAGGGGGAGGTGTCCCTTCCATCCAATCAGCTCTCACCAAACTCTGCATAGTGTAACCTCAGCTCCCCGTCCCCCTGCTTTCTGAAAGGTCAGACAAGCTGTATAAATTATGCACTTTGAACAGATGTAGAGAAGAGAAGGCTGCAGATAGACAGGTACAATTTATGTAGGAGGATTTGTTTCATCTCTGTGTATCATCCGAGGCCAGTCACTTCACTAGGTTTATGTAATGGCTTACAACCACTTTAAATTAAAAGCTTAGGCTGCAGTATAACAAAAATAGGAAGTATTGCCTTCATGACATCGAAACTCGGTGACCTACAGTGCAAGAGGTGACTATACATAAGGACCAGCTGAGAATTACACGGGGAATAATGCTAAGACTGCTATTTCTGTTACCAACAGTCTGTTAGTAAAATAGGTAAATATTCATTTTTTTTGTTTGTGTGTGTTCTTATTCACTAAAAACTTATGGTGAGAATGAGAAATTGATAAGCAAATACAGCCTGCCTCCTAGATAATTGTGTATCACACTCCTAGATAGGCTGCTAGGCTGTTAGGTACATTTAGTTTTTGACTCCTCTGTAGTCATTGGAGCATTGTTGATTGCGATTGCTTTTGGCTGTTCTGGATTTCACAGACTGCCGGTTTGATTGCTCTTCCCTTCTTTCTAGAACATTCCAGGTTGTTCTGGGAGATAAGTGTGGAGTAAGGTAAATAGGCAACATGATTATTTATACTGTCTCAGCCAATCTGTGTGGGAGACAACACAGATGGTTGCTGGAAAGAAGTATAAATAGTTTGAGTTGCATAACAGCATTGTCTTCCTGCAAGGGATTCCACCTGTTCAGGTCGTGGGTGGCTACCCCTCACCCCAAGCCCATGTTCATCGAGGTCCCAGCTACAGCAAGCTGGGGGGGGGGGGCTATATTTCAGTCCTGCTTTGGCAGCTGCCCACACTGGCAGCTGTTTCACACTGACCTTGACAGCTACCAACACCACCAGCAAAGTTGACAGTTTAAATGTTTATATCCGTTAATATATCAACATGGACATCTGGAAAAAGCATTTTTATAATGTTTAGTAAAATAGTAAATTGGGAACTATGGACTTGAAAACAGAAATTATTGTTAAAGCGAGATAAATCACTGCAGTTTGACTTCTATCTATTGATGAAAAGACACAGTGAAGCAGAACCTATTGCTTATCACTATTGCTTACCATTAAACCTTTGACAGCGAAACTACAATAAAAAATAGTCTTTTTGTAAATTCATTTTCTATTTTTTAAGAAAATGGTAAAGTACCTTAATGACAAGAAGAATAAAATCATGTCTTTTACAGAGAAACATTAAGTCTCTAGAATATACATAGACATAACTTGAAGGTCATATTGATATGTATCACTGTATCATCCACAAGCAATTAAAATCACACAATACTTTTCAGAAATGTTTCAGAAATAATACCTAGCATGGTCTGAGTTTGAGAGTTGGTGACAATGAACAGTAGGAGTGACAGGTTTTTATGTTTATTTGCAAATGTGTGTTTGCCTGATTAGAGAATAAGGCCAGATACTAAAGTGCTGCGGGCATCAGAGGAACTATGATGTGAAGTCAAATTATATACTGTACGCTAGGAATATGTATATAGCAACTGAAATTGTTCATAGTGATGTAAACCATACGACATTACATATATGGGTGGCTAAGTATTGAAGAAACACATATAAAAGCATGCAAAAAATTGAATTGGTATTGAATATAAATATTATATAGGTACAAAATGCTTTAGCTTTGACTCATTACTTACAATGCACAATAACAATATAAAGTAGTCATGATTGATTGATGATATTATACAGTCCTAATAATGATATCGGAGAAAGTCAGAGCAGTTTAAAGCAGATCTAAAGTAAACAAATTGTCTTTAGGCCTACTGATGCTCTCATGAAGAAAACAATAATTACATCCAACGCATTTGATGCAGTGGACTCCACAAGTCCAACTATGGGGACTAAAACATGCATACATCATACATTCTAGGAGGAGTACAACTGGGGAGTCAATGGCGGAGAATAATCTGGGTGTTCTGGTAGATCATTAATTTAAAAATAGCTTGCAGTGCCAAGCTTCAATTCCTCACTGTGGTCAAGGATGAATGAAATCAGTAAATGCTCTCCACTAACAGAAGTGGCAGATGGCAACCATACATCCCAAGATGACAGTCTTCTGCCATCATTGGACAAGGTTCTTACTAGTCTTGAACAAATGCATTTCCAGCTGCAGACAGTGATACTCCTCTCTCTTTAGGCCTTTTAGGGGTGAATGAAAATTCCCTCTGAAGAAGATCACTATATCTGGTCAACTTCTTCCCAACTTATGTTTGCCTCGCTCCCTGTCCTAAACTTCAATAAATTCTGCATCCTCGTTCTCTCTTCAGCCATTGTCAACCGCTTCCTATGGATGTGAACAGAGTGAATGAAGTCCACATAACTGTAAATCACAAAGATTGTATTCAGAGAGTAGTGGTTAATGATTCACACTCTGAATGGTCTAGGGTTGTCAGTGGTGTACCCCAGGGTTCAGTGTTGGGACCCTTAATTTTAAATATATTTATAAATGATATAGGGTCTGGGATTTTAAATACCATTTCAGTCTTTGCAGATGACCAATCTGTGCAGTGGAATAACGTCCTTACAGGATGTCTTCAACTTACAAGCCGACCTCAATGTTTAATTGGGCAACTATGTGGCAAATGAGGTTTATCCTCCCTGGAGGTATTCTCGAGTGTAGCTCAGGGTTAATTATCAGTGGCAAAAGCAGTAAACCCGAGCTACACTCGGGATTACCCTGCAGCGTTGCTCAGGGATTCCCAGTTTCACTTACCTTGTCCTGCGATATTGGTAAATGTAAGGTTATGCACTTGGGGGGCTAAGAATATGCATGCATCATACATACTAGGGAGAGTACAACTAGGGGAATCAGTGGTGGAGAAGGATCTGGGAGTTCTGGTAGATCACAAGCTTAATAATGGCATGCAATGCCAAGCTGCGGTTTCTAACGCAAGCAAAATCCTCTCTTGTATTAAAAGAGGTATAGACTCCAGAGAGAGAGATATCAGGATGAGAGTGGGCCATACAAGGGACTCCCTAATCTCCAAGCTATGGATATTAAACTATTTGACTATGGATATTAATTCCAACAAGCAAGAAAATCGTTTTAAAACAAGCCTTCACTTACATCTCTAGCTCCTTTAATTGGGAAGTTATTTATCCCCCCAAATTCTCAAAGATCTAAAAAATTACTTTAGAGTTGGGTTTCAATTGGTTTCTAACACCTTAGAAACACTAAGTTGGTTGTTTACTTTAGAGAATTG